CTCCTTGGAAGGTCTGGACTGGGCTTGCTGCTCCAGGGAGCTGGTCCACCTTGACCTTGTGAGAGAGTCCCTGTGTGTCTGGCTCCTCATACCCTCTCTCAGCGTGGCCAGTGAATTTTAAGAGTTCCGATATCATTTGTGTTGGGTGCCATCAAGTCGACTATGGCTTGTACTGACCCTGTGAACGACAGATCTGCACCTTGCCTGCACCGTCCGTCTCTGATACGCTTGAGCCCGTTCTTACCGTCACTCTGTCAATCTGTCTTGCTGAGCATCTTCTGCTCTTTCTCTCGCCCTCCACCTTTCCCAGCACGGTGTCTTCTTCCAGGGAATCCTGACAACGTCACCATCCTTGCCTCAGAGGAGCACCCTGGTTGCACTTCCGCCAAGATTTAATCTGCACACAAGGTCGCTGTGAGATGGAGCTGATACGATGGCACCTTACGATAACAGTAGCTGTATATATGGAAGGAGCCGTGAAACAAGTAAACTAGACCCCTCAGTAGATATTTAAAAGCTGTGATGTGAGCTGTCACCGCTATCAAGTTGATGCCAACTTTTGGCAAGGCTGCAGGTCACAGTAGAGTTGTCAGGACAGATCTTCCTAAGACAGGTGACTTCAGCTGTCTCCTGTGGAGGGGCTAGTGGGCTCGAACCACCAGCCTTTCTGTTAACAGAGAAGCACTTTAATCACTGCACCACCAAGCCCCCTAAGGAAAGGCACAGGGTATCCAAGAGGAAGTCTTAGAGGAAGAGGTTCTCTGTGGAAATGACAGGTAGACTTCTGGGACCAGAGGATGGAGAGTCAGATAGCGAAGGTGGGTGGGCATGTGGGGGAGCAGGTAAGGCAGGTTAAAGGTGGGGCGATGTGGGCAGAGCTCGGCGCCACCCAGCCCTGGCTGCAGCTGGGTTGACACCTGTGGGTTCTCTGGTTCCTCTGTGTTAGGTGCCCTCTGGCCCCCCAACTCTTCCATGGCTAAGTTGCTAGGATTTACAGCCCCTGTCACTCCCAGTCCTCTGAGTTGTGAGGTCCAGACCCCTGAGATGGTTGTATCCCAGGATTTTCCACCCTAGAGTTGGCGGCTGTTGGTGACTCTTCAAGCTTGGAGAGCATTCCCTGTTGTGCGGCAGCAAAGCCTGCAGGTGGCAGTGTGGACCAGCTCTGGAAGCCTGCACTCTGGGAAACGCTGGGGAAATGACACCCAGGCTGGCAGGGAGGGCAGCAAGGCAACCACTAGGCCTGACCTATCTCTATCTCAGGCTGGCTCTGACCAGGCTGTGGGTCCTGGGTCTCCTGCCCAGCCAGCCACCTGGGCCGCGGCCACAGGGGCCTCACTACCTGCCTGAGCTGAAAGGCAGGAGGATGGAGTGGGGCTGAGCTCTGTCCAGCTCCGCCACCCGGGTCCACGAGTGCCTGTGTCCATTCTCCCCTGGACCACAGCACTGATTTCAGACCAGAGTCCACAATCGTATCACATCAGGGTGGGACATTGTGCCCTGGATTCAGAAGTACTTGAAAGAAAAGGAAAAAAAAATGCTTTTATCTTGATGTCCTTTTTTTCTGATTATAAGGACTATATTGTCCCTAAGATTAATTAGAAGAAGCAAAGAGAGCTTGAAGCACCTACTTCAACATAATTAGATGAAGGTTGAAGAACAAAATCCGGAAAGCCGTTGTTCACTGCGGAAAGAACAAACAGATGTGTCGTAGAGAAAGTGCAGCCGGGGAGCTCCTGAGAGGCAACGATGGTGGAGCTTCATGCCACAGACTTTGGACATGTTAGGAGAGGCTGTTCCTTGGGGCGGGTCATCGTACTTGGTCAGTGAAGGAGAGGAAGACCCGGTGGATCGACACAGAGACTGAAGTAATGAGTTCAAGTGTGTCAGAGTTGATGAGGCTGGCACAGGATAGGTCAGGGTTTGGGGTTGTTGTTTATAGGGGTGCTGTGAGTCAGACTGGACTCTTCAACACCTAACAACAACAACAAAGGGAGCTCCGGTGGCATATTCCGTAGGGAGCTGCATTGCTAACACAAAGGTAGAACCTTTCTGGAGGTTCAAATCCACCAGTGGCTCCATGAGAGAAAGGTGGACAGCCTCTTCCTGTACGATTTACAGCCTCTGAAAACCTTCTGATACACACTCACGTTTATTGCAGCTTTGTTCACAATAGCGAAGAACTGAAAACAACCCAAGTGCCCATCAACTAACGAATGGATAGAGAAGCTCTGGTATATTCACACAACGGAATACTACGCAGCATTAAAAAAAAGCAAGGAACTCATGAAATATTATACAAAATTGGTGACCCTGGAGGACATTATGCTGAGTGAAATATCTCAGTCACAAGCGGACAAATATTGCATAGGGCCACTGTTGTAAAATGGGACTGACATCAGGGTTGAGGGAAGACAGAGAAGGAGGGGAGGAATGATGTACACTGCATTGAAACAGATGAGGGCGAGAACTGTTAAAAAGGATATATGATTGGGTATTATTGCCATGATGAGAGTCCTGAATGAAGGCTGCACAGTGGAGTGGACTTAGGGGGGAGGGATTACTTAACAATCAAAGAGTTTTTCTTTTACTTTTCAAGGAGAAGAGTGAATTGGAGGAGAGAGGGTGGACAGCGAGAAAAGTGCAACAATGAATAACTGGAAACCCTAAGTCTCTGTAAACTTTCATTAAAATTAATAATAAAAAATAAAACAACCTTCTGGGGGGTCAGCCACGAGTCAGTTCTGACTCCACAGAAGTAAGAGAGGAAGGGCAGGAGATGCACTGCATGGCAACAGCCCCCGTCGTTTCTGGAACACTGTGATGTTCCCGTATCCTGTGTCAGCCCACATTCCTCTCGTCATTGACTGTAGTGGTGACCTGTCCAGGGAGGAGGTCAGAATGCTGTTAATGGTCATGTGTATCCTATTGGGCCTGAGGTCCTTCACACAGACACGGGACACCAGCCCACACCCTGCCCTGCCTTGCAAATCCATCTCCCGCCACCTTCGTCCCTCAGGGCCCCTAGTCACCTCAGCCCACGCCTTTCCAAGTGTTTCTGTGACGGTCCTGATAAAATAATCTTCCCTGGGTCTCTTTCTCTAGCTCAGAGGGACAGAAAAGCGTGGCATTGTTGAGAAAACATTCTCATTTCAAGCCTCCTGGGTCTTCTTTTCAGTTTCCATTAGGGAGCAGGAACCTGGGGACGGAACAGGTCTGCACTTAAGGCTGTAACCCTACACCCTGTCTTTTTCTTAAAATCCCTCCCCTCCTCCGCAGAGAGGGCAGGGCAGTCTGTGGCCCTGGACTGTCACAGTCCAGGTTTTGTCTCTGGAGCCTCGCTGTTCCCACTGGTTCCCAGGACCCCACACTTCCCGGCATGCACTGCAGAGTGGAGCAAAGGTATCCTCCTCATTCAGTTCACTCAGCCTTGAAGGGATAAGCCCGGCCCGTCTTCCTCTCATGTTATCGTGTCTCTGCTTTCAAGATCCCTGTGCCCAGGCGGTAAGAAGTTTCCCTACGTAAACGAGGTCTCACTTTCAGAGAAAAGCATCAGCAGCTTAGCATCAGACAGGGAGCACACTCTGCTGTCATTTGTGCCTTCGTTGAACTCTAGGATGGACCACAAAGCCTCTGCCGGAAGCCGTGCTCAGTCAGGCTGGGACTCAGAACTGCTGGCGTGACCTCATCAGCTAACACCCTGCTCTAGGGCCTGGGAATTGGCGTTCACTCAATGACCGTGGAATGAAGAGGTGCTGCTGATCAGAGAAGAAAGAAGGATGCTTCCCCCCAAGCTTTCTCTGCTTCTGGAGAAAACAGTTGACATTCTTTTTTCTCCAAGAGCTGGGACCAGCCTTGCTGTTTCTCTTCAAGCCGCTCAGTGGCCCCCTCACCTTTGACTCCATTTCCCCGGTCGCCGCAAAAGTGTTGATTTGAGTTCTATCTTGACAAGTTCTCCAGAGCTCCTGGCTGCCCTTCTTGGCCTGGGCTGCTGCACTAGGGGTACGGGGTGTGTGAACCCTCTCACTCAGAACCTAACCAAAGCAAGAGGTGTTGCCCTTCGACACAGAGCAGGGCTGGGGAGCTCGTGTGGTCCCTGACCCTTTCAGAGCTGACCTCAGCCACTCAATGCCAGCTTCACGTGCCAAGTCCAGAAGCTGGCGGTGGGACCCCTCCACCCACTCTTAACTTCTCCTGGGTGAGCCCATCTCTCCTCTTTTGTCTGTGACCAGTGACACTTAACTCCCTGATCTAAGAACAACCAAGGGCGGCTCTCATCAGCATCTTTGAGTGACATCTGTCTAGTTTCTAAAACCTCATTGTGCCGGCTCACATGTCATCAGTGAGGCTCAAATTGATGTGAACTATTTTATGCCGCTACTTCATGTGAAGCCAGATTCTCATGGTAGAAGGAAGCTCCCCATTTCTTTTCATAGCTCAAATCTTCACACACACACATCCTCACACACTGCTCTTCTTAGTGTGTTTTTCAAAGTGGCAATAAATCATCCCCACGGCTTGCCACTTAAACGACTTCTCTCCAGAGGATAATATTCTCCCTTTTGTTGCGTGGGCACAAATTTCTCTTATGCAGATTAATCTTAAATGAGAAAAATCTACAAATAAGAAAACCATCAGTACATCATTTATCTCCTTGACTATGCTGTGTGTCCCCAAGCACCCTTCTCCCCTGAGAAATAAACTTCCACTTCCGGAATTAAAACCCACCTGCCCACGTTCCCCAGATCTGATTCTGGACCAACTAGAGAAAGAGTTATTGCCTTCTCCAGCAAGTAAAGGCAATTTTTTTTGCTACTTGACCACCTTCTCCCTTTGGGTAAGTATGACATGCGAACAGGTGATGATGCTTCATCCCAAATTCCATCCCACTTCCGTGCTCCAGGGCAGATCAAGTTCAGTTACTCTTGCCTTTTTCTCTGTCACTCTCGTCCTCCTTGATAAAAATGACCTGACTGGTTGTGATGTCTGTGCTTGATGTTTAGAAAGCCAAGCTTGGCCCCGCGGGGAACAAAGTTATCAGCCCTTTGGAAGACAGGAAACCTTCCAACAACCTTGACCGAGTGAAGCTCACGGACTTCAACTTCCTCATGGTCCTGGGAAAAGGGAGCTTTGGGAAGGTGAGACGCCACTGTTTGTCCAAGGGAGGGGTGAAGGGAGTGGAGTGGGCGATCATGGAGAATGTTGGGGTTTATTTTCTTCTCCCTGAGGTTTCAGCAACAGCCATTATGTTTGTACATGTGTTTTGCATGTCTGTCCACTCCATGTCATTTAAAAACACGTCTGTCCAGGATGCCCCAGCCAGCTCAGGGCCCCACCATCTTCATGGTGTTCACAGCAGAGTGAGCATTCCGAAACATCGCTTGAATGGAAAATATTCACAGCTGAGAAGGTTTACATGGAGGCAGCAGATGTAATAATGAAAAGGCCACATCTTCCACATCTGCATCTGTGACTCTGGCCCCAAATCTCATGAGAAACCCAAGAACAGATTCAAGTTCTATCTTCGTCTTGGTTTCTGACCAGTGAGAAGCTGAGAAGAGCAGTCAGTCTCTTCCATTTCACTTACAGGTGGTTGTTGTCGTTGTTGCTGTGTGCCCTCAAGTTGGAACTGACTCACGGCTGACCACAGGAGTAGATTGCCCATCTTTCTCCCATAGACAAGCTGGTGGATTCGAACTGCCCATCTTTGAGATGGCAGTGCGGTTCCTTACCACTCGGCCACTAGAGCTCCCTTCACTCAGAAGTGGTGCTTGAAAGCTAAGCTTACGTGCGAGAGCGTTTCCAGCACACAGTGTGAGGAGTTCTGCTTACCGGCTAGGACAGCACCATTGTGTGGCAGCGGCCTGCACAGGGTGCGAATCTTGACGACGTAGAGAGAGTATGATGCTGGAGGATTTAATCAGCAGTGATGTGCTGGTTTCACAGATCCCGCGTGAAGCAGAATGTCGTGAATGTTTTCCTATTATTGAAATAGTATTAATATTTTCATACTCTTACACAGTTCCCACTCTAGTGATCCTTCACTGGATTTCCAAGGCTGTAAATCTTTGCAGGAAGAGGCTGCCCACCCATCTCCCTCAGGGAAACTGGTAGATTCGAACTGCCAGCCTCTTGGTGAGCAGTGTAACACATATCCCCTCTGCCACCAGACCGCCTCATTTTTACATCTCACATTGACAAGTTTGCTTGAACTGTGGCTGCACAGGCACCCTACCCGACCCTTCCCCTCCCCACCCCTGCCCACCCCACTGCCACCCCAGGACTGGATAGCTGTGTGCTGGGCGGCTTTCAGTTTGCTCTGGGTGTGTCCGCAGGTGATGCTTGCTGACAGGAAGGGCACAGAGGAGCTGTACGCGATCAAGATTCTGAAGAAGGACGTGGTGATCCAGGATGACGACGTGGAGTGCACCATGGTGGAGAAACGCGTACTGGCCCTGCTGGACAAGCCCCCGTTCCTGACACAGCTCCACTCCTGCTTCCAGACAGTGGTGAGGACCCTGGGGCTCTGCTTGTGGGCACAGCACACTCTTGGGGCTCCATCTGCACCCCAGCCTCTCGGTGTCTGAGCCTACTTATTCCTATAAAGGAAGCTGGAGAAGGCTTCGCACTGCTACTGCTTGTAACCCAGATTCTTCTCCACTAAGCAGAGGTGATGGGGACAACTTGTGACTCCTCTGTCACTGGTCGATTTGGGACATCTCTTCCCTTTCAGTGACATCCTCTGATTGGAGGCTGGGCAGCAATTCAATTGAATGGTCCGAACATTTACACCCAAGGTTTCCCACCTGCCAGGCCCGGCACTAAGAGTAACCAAAAACCAAGAGGAGACCCCCTGCCTTTGACTCTGTTCTGACTCACTGACAGCCCTCCATCAGGTTTTGGGGACTGTAAATCTTTAAGGAAGTGACTACCCACCTTTCTCCCACACAGCAGCAGGTGGATTCGAACCACTGACCTTTTGGTTAACAGCACACCATGAAATGCACCATGCCACCAAAGCTGCTTGTCCTAAGACGAAGACATGCAAGAATCCTAGAACACTAGAATAAACAAAGAAGTTATACTTTTAAAAAGCGTACTAACTGAGGCTGCCAGTGTTAGAAGAAGCAAGGCAGATTGCTGCTTGGAAGCGGGAGGGACACTTCAGCTCACTTGCTTTGAAGAAACCGTCAGGAGAGACCAGCCCCCAGCAGAGGGCCGGAGAAAAGCAGGAAAGGGCCCAGGGAGTGGGGTTGACACAGAGAGCCCACAAGCTGCTGTTATGTGCTGTCACTGTCGAGTCGAATCCGACCCACAGCTGACCCCCCAGCAGGTTTTCAGAGGCTGCAAGGGAAGAAGTTGCTCATGTTTCTCCCGCAGAGCAGCTGGTGATTCAAAAAGCTTGCCTTAAAGGGGGGGGGGGGAAGCCCTCCCAGCAGGAGGCTGGTCTAGCGGTAAACAGCTGCACTGCAATCCTAAAGGCCTGTGGTTCGAATCCTCCAGCTGCTCCATGGAAGAAGGATGGCCAGTCTCCTTCTGTGCAATTTAGTGCCTCTGAAAACCCACCGGAGGGTCAGCTGTCGGTCTGTTCTGATTCGGTGGAACTAAACAACAACCGTGTGAAGCCTCCAGCGCTCGGTATTCCCAGGCTGTCTCCCGTCCAGTGCTGACCAGGCCCGACCCTGCTTAGCTCCTGAGCTCAGACAAGAACGGGCGCGTCCAGGGGCTGGCCTTTTCAGATCATCTATCTAGCTGCCAGCATTGCAGTGGAAATTTAGAAGATTTGATTTCCTAAAAGCGAGTATGTTTTTGTTTAATGACATAACAGGTTGGCAAACTGCAGCCCCTGGTTTATTTTGTATGAGCTCAGCTCAGAAAGGTTGGAAAAAATCCCAGAAGAAAGAACATTTCCTGACATAGGAAAATTAGATGGAATTAAAATTTCAGTCGTATCCATAAACCCCTAAAACAAACCCACTGCCCTTTTGACGGTTCCAGCTCTCAGCAACCTGGTAGGACAGAGTAGAAACTGCTCAGAGGGTTTCTACAGCTGTGTGTCATTTTCACAGAAACGACTGCCTGGAGAAACAGTTGTGGATTTGAACCGCTAACCTTTTAGTTAGAAGTCAAATACTTGAACCAAATCTGCCTCATGGGTTACTTATATCAACCCGGTGATATAAAGAAGAACTTCCCTGTCATCAGGTTTCTGAGACCATATCTCTTTTTTTTTTTTTAAGGGTTTTTTTTAGTTATTATTATTTTTGTGTGAGTGTACCGTCAAATCAGATCTGACTGGTACAGGAGGAGATTGTCCCTCCTTTCCCGGCAGAGCATCTGGTGGATTAGAACTATGCGCCTCTGGGATTGTAGTTGCAGCTCCTTGCCACGAGACCGTATCTCTTAATGGTAACAAACAGCCTCATTTTTCTCCTATAGAGATGGCTGATGGATTTGAACCACCAACCTTTTGTTTTGCAGCCCAGCACTTAGTCTACTGTGTCACCAGGTCTCTCGCTTTAACCAGAGTCTAATTTTATTGGTGGACGGCCATCTTCATGCCTCTGCCTCTCGTCGAGGGCTGCTTTTGCACTATGAAGGCGGAATGAGAACATTCCGGAAACCATACACATGGCCTGTAATGGCCTGAAATACTTACAGCCAGGCCCTTTACAGAAGAAATTTGCCGACCCCTGTCATATGGTAAAATTAAACAGAGAACAGCAGAATTCCCAGAGCTCAGATGCATCCAGTCTGAACTGAAAGGAGGAGACAAAGCTTTGCCTGACTTGGTCTTTGCAGATGACCTACAAGAAATACAGGCTTTCGGGTGACAGCAGAATGAAACATTCTCAAAGACATGTTTCCATGCCTCAGAGGCTGTCCTTTCTAAGATAAAGCTCAAGAATCAGGGGCTACAGGCAGGAGGTAGAAACTAGTAGCTCCTAGCTACTGAGAAGTAGTGGTGGGCCAGTGGTAGAATCCCCATTCTCCATGCGGGAGACCAGGGTTCAAGTCCCATCCAGTGTACTTCCTAGCAGCCGCCATCCTGCTGTCATGAGAGCATTTTGCTCTGACTATAGCAGGTGTCACAGAATTTCCAGAATAGAGTAGGAAGGAAGATGTGGCCAGCTACCTCTGAATCCGCGAGGACCCCAGTACTCCAGTCACAACCAATCCTGGAGATGCTGCAGGACCACGCAGCATTCTGTTGTGCACAGGGACACCACAAGTTGGGGCAGATTTGGTGGCCATTAGATGGGAAAGTCTGCTGTTAGAGACCTCTCCAAAGGACTGAAGAGCAATGGTGTCACTCTGGAGACTAAGGTG